GCCATGCTACTTCCCTAGATTCATCATTGAAGAGCCTCATATCCCAGGATCTTACACAAGTCCAGAAACATTCAGAAGGAGGGAAAAGAGATCTCTGTCAGTCGTACCTTCAAAGTACAGCCCCTACCCTTTTACTTCTCTTTCTTATCTTATCAGTTCTGGCCTCACCCCATCATCTTGCACTTGAAACAGGTAGGCCTAACTGGACTCTTTGCTTCAACTTCTGCTCCCATCCAGCCACTCTCCACACAGCAGCCAGAGTGATTTTCTTAAAACATAAATTAATCATGCTTCAATATTGAGTATACCTCTTAAGCTACTTGTCACCCACTCCCCTTTCTAATTCCATTAGGTTTAGGAAACAAAGAATGAAACACATTTTTTTTCAAGTGTTGCATATAGGAAGGGGGGAGGTATGTCCATAGTAGAGATTTTTATAAATTCCTGGAGGACTGTAAGTGGGATCACATCATGCTAACTGATAAACCAGGGAGAAAGGAGACTCAAGTCAGAAAGTGTACAGGGAAGCTGAGGGCTCTTCTTTGTGTGGAGTTCTGGAGTAGCTCTGGGACAGGAAGTGACAGACCAGAATTCCCATTGAGGACAGAAGTCCCCAGGGGAAGCTGGTCCTAGTAAGTCTATGTGTAGTGCTTTCTTGAGCTAGATGCTCAGCATGGTCCTTTACTTGTAAATATGGAAGTATGACTAAGGACCACCAGACAGATGAGGCAATCCAACAGCAAGGAGGTGATATTCACAGCAATTCACCCAAGAGATACAGGGAGATTGCAGGAAGATATACAAGCTTTTAAAAAATTCTTTTTAGTATCCTCAGAGAGACTTAAGAATATATTTCACCTATAAGTAAAAACAGGCTGTCATAATGAAAAAGAAGCATTCAAATAACAAGAAAGAATTCAGGAACAGAAATATATATATATATATATATATATATATATATATATATATATATATATATTCATATATTTTCATATATATATATATATATTCAACAAATTTATTTAAAGAGCTACTACAAAACATTGAGGAGTTTCCCTAAACATGGATCAAAAAAGATAAAGATAGAAGAAAGAAAGAGAAAGTGTATAAGACAGAAAATCAATCAAGATGGGCCAACATCCATCAACAGAAAGAACAGAGAAATGGAGGAGGAATAATAAAAGAATAATAGGAAAATCTTTCTAGTACTAGAGATTCCAGGTCTTCAGAGTGAAGGGTTTCACTGAGTGTCAGAAAGAATAAAAGAGAACCACACTTAGATTTATCCATATGTAATTTCAGGACATCAAGATTAAAATGGAGTTCCAAAAAAAAAGGGTAAAGACTTTCAAATAGACATATAAACACACAATATACACAGAAGGATGATAGGTAGGTGGTAGGTGAGTGGGTAGACTATTGCATAGGTGGATGAATAGATACATAAAGAAATAGTTATAAGATCTTTAATATTTTCAAATGGAAATATGAATACAGACACACATATGTCTGTGTATGTTTGTGTTACTCACCAACGAACAGGAATCAGATTAACATCAGACTTAACAACTTTTAGTAGTAAACACAATAGAATCGTGTCTTCAAAATGGTGACTTCAGTATTTTACGTATTGTGTTTCATCTGACCCTCTCAACACCCTATGAGAAAGTGTACTAGATATAAAATGGTGCCCCTCCCCCTAAAAAAACAAAGAAAGTAAAACAAAAAAAAGAAACAAGGTAACCTGTATATCTAATTACAATGACTCAAGAAAATCACAGGAGAGACATTCTTTCTGCTCCTGGCACATATTGATAACAGATATAGTTGAAGATCATGAAATTAAAAAGTCAGAGCTGGGTCAGAAAATCGGTTATACATTTTTGTAAACTAGAAACAGAAGAGAAACTCAAAGTGATTATCAGAGAAAGGGGCTGAAAGTAAATCTGCTGCAGGCGAAGACATGGACCAAAACAAAGCTCCTTCTTGAAGACTGGGACTGGAGTAGAGCTGCCCTATTCATGAGGAAAGTGTCCCAAAATGCTTTTGACCACCAGCTGGGTATTTTTGCCTTAAACATGCTACAAGTCACTGAGGCAAGATGACATAGATACTGTTCACAAGCAGGATCTGACCCATACTTCTCCTTGTCTTCATAACTAGATCTGCAGTAATGTGAATTTCACTTTGGGAATGGAGTCCTTAAATGTCATAATAAGACTTGGGTCCACACTGAGGACTCAGGGATCCAAGCTTAAGGATCCTAGCAAATGCTAGATAGAAAGGGATATGCCCAGGGGAAGAAAAAAAATACATGAACCAAAAATTCCCCATTCAAACTGAGCCTACAGACTTAAAGTCAAAAACCAACAAAGAAATCTAATAGAGTTAATAAGATCAGTAGTCGATCATCAAAATATGACTTCATGGGTAAAATTAATCCTATAATCTGCCAAGACTTTAAAAAAATGTTTAGAATACCCAAAGACAAAGCAGAAATTTTTAAAAATAATATAATCCTGAGATAAATGTAGTATTAAAATTAAAAACTTAAAAATTTTAGGTGGGACAAAGTTTAATGAAGAATTCATCAAAGGATACACAGATGAAAATATGTTCAACTTCACTAGTTATCAGGGATTTCAAATTAAAACAATGGGATACTATATCACATCCATAAGGTTGGCAAAATTTTCAGTCTTAAAATACCAAGTGTGGGTAAAGATGTGAATATAAATGGGAGATCTCAAGTACTGCTAGCGTATAAATTGGCACCATCTCATTATTAAATATTTAGCAAGGTCTAGTAAAGATGAAAATGTATATACCCAACATCCTAGCAATTTCACTACTTAGTACCCTAGAGGGAATTTCACACATGTGCACAGGGGGATATTTATAAGGAGGCCTATTATAGCATTGTTTTTAATAACTAAAAATTGAAAACAACTTTAATACACATCAACATAAGGGATAAATTTAGATATAGCCATACATATTGTTCAATGCTTTATATTATCTAAAAAAGAATAAATTGCAGTTATTGTTGATCCATGTATCAACGTGAATAAATCTCAAAGACTAAATATGCAATATGATGCTATTTATATAAATTTGGAAAAAATGCACAAACCAATTCTCTATATTTTTTAGACATATATTTATAAACTCTACAATTATGGAAGTGAGTGAAAAACACCAAATTCAGAATGGCTGCTACCTCTGGGGAAGATGAAAGGAGAATGTGGTTAGAGAAAGCCACATAAAAATTTTTAATGATATCTGTAGTTTAAAAAGATATTATGAAAAATTTTAAAAATATAAAAAAGCAGAAAAAAATAGTAAAACACACTCCCACATACCTAACAGCCAGCTTCAATAGTTATCACATAATTATGAAACATTTTACCAACCTTATTTCCTTCATTTTCCCTCCTTGTACAACCACTTATTTTCTGTAGCTTTTGAAGCAAATATCAGACATCATGCTATTTTATACATATATAATTCAGTAAGCATCTGCAATACATGAGGATATTTTTAAAACATAATTAATATTATATCATTATCATAATTATCAAAATTACCAATACTTTCTGGAGTACAATGAGTAATGTCCCCTCTAAAGATTCCTGGGACCTGTGAATATTTTACTTTATATGGTGAAATGGCCCGTGCAGATATGATTAAATTAAGCCTCTTGAGTTGGGGAGAATATCCTGAACTATTCAGGTGAGTCCAGTATAATCATTAGGGTATTTATAAGATGGAGGCAGAAGTGTCAGAGGAGGTGACATGAGGAGAGCCAACACTGCTGGCTTTGAAGGTGGGGGAGGAGGCCATGAGCCGAGGAAAGCAGGCAGCCTCTAGAAGCTGGAAAAATCAAGGAAATAGATTCTCTCCTAATTCTTCTCAAGGGAGCACAGTGCTACTGGCACCTTGATTTTATTTAGCTCAGTGAGAGCCATTTAGGATTTCTGACCTCCAGAAATGTAAAATAATAAATTTGTTTTGTTTTAAAGTACTAAATTTGTGGTGATTTTTTACAGCAGAAATAGGAAATGAATGCAGTTCCTTAATATCATCTAACAAATAATCAATAGTTAAATTTTCCCAGTTGTCTCAGAGTGTCTCATTATAGTACTTGTATCTGGTACTTCAATAGAAGAACTAATGTAGGTATCAGAGGCCAAGATTTCTTATTTTGTGACTTTGGCGCTTTGTTTACCCTCAATGCTGTTTATTTTTGTTTTTGTTTTATTTTTTATTTTTAAATTTTAGTTATTTCTTCTTAGAGAGAAGGGAAGAAAGGGAGATGGGGAGAGAAACATTGATGTACAAGAGATACATCAATTGGTTGCCTCTTTCACACCCTCAACTAGGGACCTGGCCCACAACCCAGGCATACGCCCTGCCTGGGATTCAAACCAGCAGCTTTTTGGTTCACAGGCTGGCAATCAATCAACTGAGCCATGTTATATTCAAGTTGCGAGTGAAAGGAATCTCCAAACACTGAGATCAGTTTGATGTCAAATTTATTGGCCAAGTTTTACCTGCGCAGGGGCGAACTTCCCAAATGAGACCGTAGTCTCGCGGCTACGCAGAGCCGCCAAAATGGAAGTCGCGCCTGGCTTACAGACTATTGGGGTTTTATAGAAGCTAGCAAGCAAGCACGGGTTACAGAAGCAGATGTGTCTGTTAGCCATTGGCTTATTCACACAAAACAGGAGTTTCTGATTGGTAGAGGTTGTTGTTGGCGGGCAGATCTTGGCGGGTAGTTTCTAGGGCCGAAAATAACTTTCTCAGCTAGGAGCGGTTAGTTGTTTATCTAATCTTTGCCCACCACATTCTGTCCTCCACTCGCCCTAAGCTTAAGCAAACACCCCGTTATGCAGCTCTGTACTTTTCCATTTTCCTTGTTCCCCCTTAACCTTCCCTTGTACCACGGTTGTTCAGACATTTTGGTGGCCCCTACATTCCCTCCTTCTCTTCTATATTAGTCAAACCTTTGACTCATGTTCTTCTTGTGGAAGGATTGTATAGGGCTGAGACAAAACCATGAGTTTCACTGTCTCAACTCTATCTTTAATAAAAGCTAGAAGCTTATTCAGAATTATTGGTCCTATAGTCAGAGCCAATAGAAGGAGAATTAGAGGTCCAGCCAAGGCTGATATCAGTGTGGTCAGCCAGGGTGAGGTCTTATATAGGGAAGAATACCAGGAGGACGACTCACTTTCTTGCTCTCTGTCTTTGAGCCGCTTGGTGAGCACTTTTATGCTTTCTCTAATTATTCCTGAATGGTTGGCATAGAAACAACAATCTTCTCCTAGGGCTGCACATACCCCTCCTTGTTGTAGGAAAACTAGGTCTAGCCCCCTTCGATTCTGGAGCGCTACTTCTGCCAGGGAGTCTACCTGACGTTCTAGATATTCTACTTGCTCTTGAAGCAAGGAGAGGTCTTTAGAGAAAGTTTGTGATAATGTTCTGAGACTATTTTCTCCCTGGATTAACGCCCCTGTCCCTACCGCAGCCGATCCTATAACACCGATGGTGGCGACGATAGGAATTAACAATGGGACTCGCTTGACTCGGGAGGGGGCTTGTATTAGAAAATCAGGATTCCCCCCATACAGGTATACCTGGGGAATGATATAAGCGCTAACACATAGCTCAGGGTTTGTTGGTACTAGACACTTAAAGATACCTTGGGTACAGACAAACCATAGTCCTTCACGAGCTTCTGTAACAGTTAAATTAGCAGAATTCCCCGGCAAGTGCACTTGGTTGAGACAATAATCACTGTAGTTCGAGGTTGCCAGGGTATAGTTTGCTAACAAATAACAAGTTCCTTGTCCATGGAATTCTGCCAATGTAAGGGTACCCTCATATGCACACTGTTGTAAGTCTTTTGTCTGGTTGTCTGTGGAAAGGGTTTTTGTCTCAGTCTCGTTATCTCCAGTGGTATTAGCTCCTAAGCCTACATAGAATGGGGGTCTAGGGCTGAGGCACAGCCAGCAAGACTCGGTTATGTTGGGCTGGGTGCTGTTAAAGTAAGGAAATACCTGCTCTAACAGGCTTAATGCTGACTCTCCTTTATGGTGCGGTTTCTTAGCATAGGGGTCTCGATCTCCCAGGGGAGGCCTTGAGTCATTTAATTGTGATAGTCCCTTGGTCTCATTCTGGCTGGTACTAACCTCTGCGGGTGTTGGGGCCGCTGAGGGGACCCCTCCTCCTGGGCTAGGGGCCGGCTTTGGTGGTCGTGGTGGTAATCTCCCTGCACCTCCCCTCAGTAGCGGCCTTCCGCGGGTAGGTAGCAGTTTAATTGTAAAGAAAGTTCCTGGATCTATGCCTGTCACATAAAGCCGGAGACCCCAGGTGCGGCCTTTTATCCACTCAGGGTCTCCTGGGTTCAAAACTATTACAGAAGTAGGGTTGCATCTGCCTGCTTTGCAGGTTGTATCTCCCATATTTCTTGGTGCCCTGCTTTTATCTCGGGTGAGGAGAATGTGTTTATCCTTTCCTCCTCCTGGACTCCAGCCACCATCAGTAAGGGTCTCACAGCCCCAGGCCTTGCAGTAATAATCTCCGTGTGATCCACATGTGTACCGCTTCCCAGGAGGGGGCTCCGGACACCCGTAATAGGAGGTATAGAACAAGTCCCGATTTAAGTCTTCTTCCCCATCATCCTCACAAGTGTTCCCTAACCCTTTAGAAACCCCTTCAAGGGGGCTGGGCTTATGCGGGTGGGTAGAGAAAAGTCTACCATGATCACAGAGTTTTTCCTCAAAGAATCGCGAGAAGTCTGCTCTTAAGGTAACGGGGGCGCTTCCCAATGTATAGTTAGTGGCGATTACGGTCCCATCAGCAGTTCTTATAAGCACCCACTCCCGCTGTTCTAGGCTATGGCTTAGGGCGTTACTAATAGTCAGGAGTCTCAAATACGTGACAAAGAGAGTTTTAAGGGTTTGTCTGGGTCCCGACGGACCCGCCATGTCCGTGGTTCTTCTTCTTCAGGTGGTTGGGCTGCCTTAATGTGGGACAGATGGATCCAGTAGGGTTTCTCTGCTACTCGTACAGCGGAGGGTGTGCTCAACAGTACCTGATATGGTCCTGTCCAGCGAGGTTCTAGGTTTCCCCTCCGATGATTAAGGATCCATACCCACTGTCCAGGCTCCGGCTGTTCCGACTTCTCTTGCTGTTTTTCTTCTGATTCTAGACGTTGGGCTTGTTGGAAGGCACGCACTTCACTCCGAATTCCTTGCAGCGCCTGTAAGGACTTGAGGAAGTTATGGTTAGTAACTTCTATCTCTTCTGTGGTCAGCTTGGGGATCAGGGGTATTGGCTGCCCATACAGTATTTCAAAAGGTGCCCAACCCTTAATATAGGGGGTACACCTCACCCGAAAGAGGGCGAAAGGGATAAGCTCTACCCAATTTTCGCCGGTCTCTTCTCTTAATTTTATTAAAGTTTCTTTCAATGTTCTATTCATTCTTTCCACCTGCCCTGAGCTCTGTGGTCTATAAATACAATGGAGCTTCCAATTAATACCTAATCTATTTGCTAATTCTTGTGAGATTTTGGATACAAATGCTGGACCATTGTCAGATCCTATGGCTATAGGTATTCCATATCTAGGTATAATCTCTCTCACTAAAATCTTGCAAACTGTAGATGCGGTCTCTCTCCTAGTGGGAAAAACTTCTACCCATCCAGAGTAGGTATCTACCAAAACTAGCAAGTAGTTATAACCTGACTTTCCTTTAGGCATTTCAGTAAAATCAATTTCCCATAGCTCTCCTGGGGCACTCCCTCGATGCCTAACGAAGCGGGGTAATTTCTGGTTCTGTGCGTTCACTTTCGCACAGATCTTGCACCGCGAGGTGATGGAGTGAATTATTTCTCTTAGGTGTGGTCCCAGGTAATACTTCCGGATTAACAGTTCTAATTTGTTCTGTCCCAAATGAGTGCTAGTGTGAATGTCCTGGGCAATTTTTGTTAGCACTCCTTGTGGCAAGTATAATTTGGCGTTTGGGAGCACTATCCATCCATTTTTATTTTTCGTTCCTCCTAATTTTTCTCCATCGTGCTCTTCTTCTGTAGAGTATATGGGCCTCGGGGGCAACTCTGGGCGGGGTACTAGGGGAAGCAGGCTACTCTTTGGGCTTATAGCGGCTTCCCTGGCAGCTGTATCAGCCAGATTGTTTCCTTTTACGACTGGAGTATTTCCTTTCTGGTGGCCTCTACAATGGATAATGGCAACTTTCTTGGGTAACCATATAGCTTCTAGGAGGGAGAGAATCTCTTCACAGTTTTTAACGTCTTTTCCTCCTGCAGTCAGGAGACCTCTCTCTCTGTAGATAGCTCCATGAATGTGGGCGGTGGCAAAAGCATAGCGGCTGTCAGTGTAGATATTGGCAACTTTTCCCTCAGCTATCTCTAGGGCCCTGATCAGCCCTATTAGCTCTGCCCTCTGTGCAGAAGTCCCTGCAGGCAGTGCCTTTTGCCACAGGACCTTATCTTCGGTGGTCACTGCTGCCCCTGCATACCGCTGTCCATCCTTGACAAAGCTGCTCCCATCAGTAAAGAGGGTTAGATCCGCCTTTTCATGTGCCTGATCTTTTAAGTCCGGGCGGGAGCCAGTTACTGTGCTGAGGATCTGCTCACAACTGTGAACCACAGTGGAGTCTGGTACTGGCAGCAGGGTGGCTGGATTCAGGGCAGTAGTCTTAAGGAACTGTACCGCAGGAGGGTTCAGCAGCTGTGCCTGATACTGTGTCAGCCGCGCATTAGATAACCACCGGTCTGGGGGGGACCGTAGGACCTGTTCGACGTAATGTTCTCCTATGACCTGTATGTCCTGCCCCAGGGTCAATTTGCCTGCTTCCTTGACCAGTAGCGACGTGGCTGCAATAGCTCTCAAACAGGCCGGCCATCCTGACGCTACTGGGTCGAGCTTTTTGGACAGATAGGCCACAGGCCTCTTCCATGGGCCGAGAGTCTGGCTCAGAACACCTAGGGCCGTACCCTCCTTCTCAGCGATATATAGCTGGAAAGGCTTGGTCAAATCAGGCAAGGCTAGGGCTGGGGCTGAGACTAAGGCCTCCTTCAAGGCCAGGAATGCTCGCCTCCCCTCCTCAGTCCACACAAAGGAATCTTCCTTGCCTCTGGTTAAGTCATGCAGGGGTTTTGCTATGTCCGCAAAACCTAGTATCCACAATCTGCAGTAGCCTACAGCCCCTAGAAATTCTCGTACCTGTCTCTTGGTGGTCGGCTCTGGAATCTGCAGGACTGCCTGGACCCGCTGCTTCGACAAAGCCCTCAGCCCTCCTTTCAGGTCATACCCCAGGTAACTTACAGTTTGTGTTGCGATCTGAGCCTTCTTAGCTGACACTCGGTAGCCCATCCTCTCAAGGTCCTGGAGCAGGTCCAGTGTAGCTGATTCACAGTCCTCCTGTGTCCGGGCTGCTACCAGGATGTCATCTACGTACTGAAGGAGAACTACTGATGGATGGGTCCCTCTGAACTCCTGGAGATCTTTACTTAGAGCCTCATTGAAAATGGTTGGTGAATTCTTAAACCCTTGGGGCAGCCTGGTCCACGTGAATTGCCCCACCAGTCCATTCTCAGGGTCATTCCATTCAAAGGCAAAAATGTCCTGGCTCTGGGCGGCCAGTGGTATGCAAAAGAAGGCGTCTTTTAAATCTAAGACAGAATAATAGGTATGGGTTGGGGGCAACGAGCTCAGGAGAGTATACGGGTTTGGCACAGTAGGGTGTATTGTTTCGACTCGGGCGTTTACCTCCCGCAAGTCCTGCACCGGCCTGTAGTCTTGGGTTCCTGGCTTTTGGACGGGGAGAAGGGGGGTGTTCCATGCGGACTGGCATTTTCGCAGAATGCCAGTCTCTAGTAGGCGTTGTAAGTGTCCCGCAATCCCCTGTCTGGCCCGTGCCGGGACCGGGTATTGTCTGATCCGGACCGGCTGCGCATTGCTGGCCAACTGGACTAGTACCGGTACCTGGTGGACAGCCAGCCCTGGCGGGTTCGTTTCCGCCCACACCCCTGGTACTCGGGTCTGCAGATTTCCCAGCGCTGTACTCCCATCTTTCTCACCGTCTGGGAGTACCGTCAGCAGGTATTCTTCAGATAAGGGAACTGTTACCTTCAAACTGGTTCCTTCCGATGTTTCTGCTGGACTGAAGCTTATGGTAGCATGGAGCTTCTGTAACAAATCTCTCCCGAGTAACGGAAATGGACAGTCTGGAATAACTAGAAAAGAGTGAGTAATAGTCCCTTGCCCCAAGTTGGTAATCCTGGCTGCCGTCCAGGGATATGTTTCGGCCTTACCCGTTGCCCCTACGATCTTCGTGGTTGCCTTTTGGATTTGCCCCCGAGGCTGCGTTAAAACAGAAAAAGTGGCTCCCGTGTCGACCAGGAAGTTTACAGGTTTCCCTTCGACGTTCAAGGTGACCATGGGCTCCTGGGAGCCGACGGGTATGGAGCCCTGGCCCCGTCAGTCCAAGGTTTGAAGCAGCACCGCGGGGCTAGTCTCTTTTGCTTGCAGTTTGGGGCAATCTTTCTTCCAATGCCCTTTTTCTTTACAAAATGCACACTGGTCTTTGTCTATTCTGGACCACTGGCCTTTCGGCTTTCTTTTTCCTTTATCTTGCTTTGGGCCTGCCTGGGCTGCGATTAGGATCTTTGCTACTTCTTTTGCCTTTCCTATCTCTGGGTCATCTCTGTTCACATATACCTTCTGAGCAATTTCTACAAGCTTGCTGATATTTTCTCCCTCAAACCCTTCAATCTTTTGCAATTTCTTCCTAACATCAGGAGCTGCCTGGGTCACAAAGGCAATGTTCAAAAGCCGCCTGTTCTCGGGGGCCTGTGGGTCCAATGGGGTGTATACCCGGTAGGCTTCTACCAGCCTCTCTAGGAAACTAGCTGGGGATTCTTCTCTCCCTTGAACTATTTCACTAACCTTACTAAAATTTGTTGGTTTCTTGGCTGCTGCCTTTAACCCCCTTAACAGAGCCCGGCGGTATTGGAGTAGTGCATCCCTTCCCCCACTCGTGTTGGGGTCCCAATTCGGGGGTTGTTCAGGTAGTATATCCTGCACCTCCCTCCTCCCTACTGCGGTTTCTCCCTCTTCTCCCATGACCGCTTTGACAGCTTCTCTCATTATTCTGTCTCTTTCCTCTGAGGTGAATAGGGTCTGCAGTATTTGCTGACAATCATCCCACGTTGGTTGGTGGGTTCTAAATATGGTCTCTAGCAAGGAAATTAATCCCTGTGGCTTTTCAGAAAACGGGGGATTCTGCAGCTTCCAATTGTATAAATCACTAGTAGAGAAAGGGACATAGACCAGCCGCGGTGGTGCGTGTAACGGGGCGTCCGGAGCCGGTGGCACCTCCCTGAGTGGCAAAATGGCGGCGCCATCCGGTCTTGGCGCCAAACCTGTACCCCCATACTGTGCACCACCGCGGGTATGAGGTGGGCTCTGGATTCCCTCTCTCTCTCCGCCCGAGGAGTCTGGCAGAGGTTGATGATACGGGGGAGGAGCGGAGGGAGCTAACAGCGGATCTTCTGGTACTTCGGGCAGAACAGGATATAACTTCCTCCCTCCCCCGTTCTCCTGGCTCTGCTGAGGCCGGCGCCCTTTTCCACTCTGAGAGTGAAGAGTCTGCCTGGGCGCCGTTGCCACACAGAGAGCCTTTTTCTTTCCCTGCCCATTGGATTGGCACCGGCGGATGTACCCAGGACGATCAGTGGCTATGTCTACCCACACATCTATGTAGACCATCTGATCTGGGTGGGGGGTCGCATACACCACCCGCCGGACCGCGAACAGGAGGGGCAATTCAAAAGTCCCCTCCGTGGGCCACCCTACGTCAAAGGTTGGCCACTCAAGTTCACTGAAAGTTCGCAGGGTCTCTGGGTCGGGTGGAGGACCTCCGTAGCCCCGAGCGCGATTCTGAAAGTCAGAAAAGTTGTTTAGCAAACACTCCAGGGCAGTTCTCGCGGTGGAGCCTCCTTGTCCCATCTTGAGCTGGTATGGGGCTTGTAGGATTAAAGCAGTAATTACAAAGACAAACCACGCAACAAAGGCAAGACCAAAAAGAGTCTGAACACAGCAAGGGTCTCTCACTCCGGGCACGTGATTTCTAGTATCTCATAACCACTTAACTGACTTTTCCACTCTCTTCACTCACGCACAGTCAGGCCGCGGCACACCTCAATCTCTCCACACACACACACAGACTTCGCTAGCGCGTTCAGTCGCGGCGCAAACCGAAATCAATCGCCAAATGCGACCTAGTCGCGGGAGCAAAAGCTCCGGTTCTCGAGAGCGTCCTCTCCTTGAGAACCCCGCGGGTGGACTACCGGCGACGTCTCGCCTACCACCTCGCGGCTCTAATGAGTCTAGACTCCCAAACCAAATTCCGCGGCAAGCTTACCCGGGTTTCACTTTCTCAGCCTCCGAAGACTCTCTTTCGATCTCGCTGGGGCCTCCAAAAATGTTATATTCAAGTTGCGAGTGAAAGGAATCTCCAAACACTGAGATCAGTTTGATGTCAAATTTATTGGCCAAGTTTTACCTGCGCAGGGGCGAACTTCCCAAATGAGACCGTAGTCTCGCGGCTACGCAGAGCCGCCAAAATGGAAGTCGCGCCTGGCTTACAGACTATTGGGGTTTTATAGAAGCTAGCAAGCAAGCACGGGTTACAGAAGCAGATGTGGCTGTTAGCCATTGGCTTATTCACACAAAACAGGAGTTTCTGATTGGTAGAGGTTGTTGTTGGCGGGCAGATCTTGGCGGGTAGTTTCTAGGGCCGAAAATAACTTTCTCAGCTAGGAGCGGTTAGTTGTTTATCTAATCTTTGCCCACCACATTCTGTCCTCCACTCGCCCTAAGCTTAAGCAAACACCCCGTTATGCAGCTCTGTACTTTTCCATTTTCCTTGTTCCCCTTAACCTTCCCTTGTACCACGGTTGTTCAGACATTTTGGTGGCCCCTACAAGCCACACCAGCCAGGGTCTGTTGTTTTAGTTTTTAATCTGTGTAGTGGGGAGTTTTTAAATAGCATCTGTATCACAGGAAATAAATTAGCAAATGTAAATAAACTTTTAAAATGTTAAAATACTTTCCAAATATAGATAATTGGCTTATGATCCCAATTAGCCAAATAAAATTTATTTAGAAACTATAATTTACAATGTGCAGGAGGATACTTCAAAACAGAGGCAGTACTCCGATATGAAAGGACTTAATTCCTGACCAAAGGAAGCTTAAACTCACTTCCACTTTAAACTATATACTGGCTGTTTTTGAATTCTTTCCTGCTCAAAGCCAAGAACCCATAATGTGTCGCTGACCCCCAGGTCCCAGGACCCCCAGAATGCCTGCATCAGGCACACCAGGATCTGAGAGTCAAACAGACCTGCATCCAAACCAAGTGTGATTTCCAGTTTGGCCCATCACAAGCCTGGTACTACTGGAAAAGTTGCTTAAGCTCCAAGAGCTTTTGTGCTCTTCAGAGAGATAATAGGATGATTAAAGTAGTTCAACCCTGTAAAGCTATGGACAGGTAAAAAGTGTTCCAGATAAGCTGATTTCCTTTCCAGGTGTTTTATCAGCAAAGCAAGTATTACTCAGTTCAGATTCGTGACTCAGCAGGATGACTCAGCAAGATGAAACTATCTAAAGGATATACAAGCCCCAGGTGTTGCTAGCTCAGAAAGGGTGAGACCATTGTCAGGTAGAAGTCAGTGGCTTAAAGAAGAGTAGGATTTGACCCAAACTTTGCCAAGTGTAGACTATGTGTATGGGAAGAAAGCAGGGAGGAAGTCATTCCAGGCAAGAGAGGACAAGGACAGGGAGACAGGCTCACAGGAGTCAGACTGCAGGGAGATGGTGTCAATGAAGGGGAGATTTACAAAGGGCAATAGCAGAAGAAAAGATGGGGAATGAAGTTTGCAGCCAGATCATAGGAAGTTCTTGATGGTATAACCATCATTCATTAGTTAAGTATTAGCACCTACAATGTGCCATATGAACCCTTCCCTTTCCCACTGCTACTGCTTTTGAAAAGAACCTTGAGGCCTGTTTTGTCTTATCTTTTGGAATTCTGTAGCTTAAAAAATAAATAAACCTAGTACAAGCAAAATTAATAAATCTCAAACAATGGCATTGTGACAGAGAGCAGAGCACACTGAATCTGTTGCCAGGAGCCATTTCACAATTCCTGCTCTGAACCTTCCATTAATCCCCACTGTTTCCATTTAATTTGGAGACCTGCACAGGATGTCCCATGCAGAATGGCTTGTTATCCTATTCACCTTCATCTCCAAGTTCCTGTGTGACCCCTTACATCAGCATATATTACCCAGTCCCATATCCTTCATGTTTTTCCATCTGAGGGAACCAACTGTGAGTGAAGCCATTCTTAGGCATGTGCCCCAAGGAATTGGGTGGGCTGACGTAGGAAGGGGGAATTGTTTCAGTGTTAAATGCTGGTTCCTTCTCATTTGCTGGTTATAGGCTAGGGGGGGTTGGGTGGGGAGTAGTGCTATAGTTTAGCAAACAGAAATCCCCTGCATTTCAAACAGAGTGGCATTCAATAGAGGAAATTGACTTATCAGATCCTTGGGAGGGCTGCAGGAGTAGGCTTTAGGCTGAGACCGCTCACCCAGTGACTCCCAGAGCCCTGTAGAACGGACCCACCAGGGGAGCTGAGGACCACTCCAGGGTCACCAATATTCCTGGGACAGAAAGTTACTGTTGCCACCACCATCCAATTCTTTCAATGACTCTCAGCTCACACCTCACCAGGGTGTGATGCTGGGAATTCTCGGATCCTTAATTTCCTTTTCTGGAAGATGGGTGTAAAAATTCAATGAGGAAGGTGGTAAACAAGAAAGGAGCTTCAATATTGGAGAAATGCAATTCCACTGGCTTGAACTCTCAGTGAATTTTGGTTCCCTTTCTGTTCCTTCTGTAACAACTAAGTGCCTGAGAGAAATAAGCAGGTGAGTATGGAAGGGAAGTTTAGTTTTAAGTTTCTGGCTACTGATTGTGGGAGAAGCATCTGGGACAATGTCTGGGACAATGTTAGAAAGTTAAACCTTTAATAGAAGGTTTAAAACTAAGTCCACGACAAAGTAGTCACTGTGCTCAATTTAGTTTAAAAACAAAAGATAAAGTCACCAAGTGGATGATAGTCTACTCTACTGCCCATAAGGAAAGAGGGGTTTCATATAGACATTGCCATGTGGCCCTTTGCCCCTTATCACCTCCATCCCTCCTCTCATTCCTTCTCTCAATGCCCCCTTCCTAAAGAACTCCTCCAGTAGAGCCCAGAGGAGCCATCCCAGCGGCTGTAGTCACCAGCAATGTCCAAGTCTATTATAATGGTGTCTGCCTGCTCATTTCTTGCCACAGAATCTTGATCCCATCATAATCTTCATGAGTAT